TAGTAATTTCTCTTTGAGACTTGTCTAAGGCTTTTGATTGCGTTTCACACGACATTTTGCTCCACAAATTAAATTTGGATGGAATCAGAGGTATCTCTCTTAACGTTATAACTTCTTATCTATGTGGTACACACCATGCGGTAGAGTCTAAAGGTCATCTCTCTGATTTTCTATCCGTAATACATGGAGTCCCACAAGGTTTGGTCTTAAGACCTCTTTTGTTTATTATTTATGTCAACAATTTGCCTAAATTCATATCTACGTACAATACCATACAATTCGCAGATGATATGACATACGTTATATCAGGAAAAATAATGATGATTTAAAAATGTCTTTTTCTACTAAATCTAGCTCATGGTTTGCAGCAAACAAACTGAAATTTAACTTTGATAAAACGCAAAATTTGAGTATTTTTGCAGGTAGTTTACACAATGATTCAGATAACAAAGAGACTACTTAACTATTATTATAGATAATCGACTCAACTGGTCGGTTCATATCTCACAACTTCAATACAATTCACAACAAGATATCAAGTTCATTATTTGTTATTCGCTAACTTGCAAGGGTTGTCAACTTTGAAACATTGAAAATGTTTCAAACATAAACATATTTTTCTTTATTTCACTCTCACCTAAACTATGGTGTAATCATAGGGGGAAATTTAGTCAGGATTTTAGCAGGGGTTAGTTATCTAGAACACTGTCGACTTTTCTTTATCAAATTCAAAATTATGCCGCTACCTACTCTATTGATATTTCAAGTTATAACTGAAATTCACAGAAAACGTGCTCATTTAATAAAGCAGTCTGATCTCCATGCTCACAATACGCGAAACTGACACTACCTGCGAACAAATCGCTGTAGATTTTCAGAAAAGTAGTATTTCAGAAAAAAATTGTCTTACTTATAACTATTACAATATGTTATAACCCGACAAGCGAGAGCTGGCGGGTTGCGTGTAGAACAAATTAAAAAGTGGAAGGGATTGATCATTCATATTGCAGTCGGCTAGGAGTTCACATCGTGTATAACCGTTTAAGTACCTATACTATATACCTATAATCGCGATTAAGTACCTCTCCTATCTCTGTTAGAATAATTCCTTTTCTATTTTGCGCAGCTCACCCGCCAGCTCTCGCTTGTCGGATTATACCAAAAAGTATTAAACAGCTAAGCGGTAACTGTTTCGATAAAGCTATAAAAAAATATCTTCTAAAACATTGTTTTTACTGCTCAGAAGAATATATGACTCATTGCAGAACATCCACTGAACTCCTTACCGTAACTCTGCCATAAATGTTTTTCTGTTTAATATGTGTTCTTGTTTGTATACATTTAAGTTACGTTTTATATTCTTTTTTTAATACTATGTTTTTTTTTGACTCGCTACAAACAATATTTGTATCAGTTATGTAGTAAATTATATACTCTACTTTAACTCTTCTGAAAAACTGTCAACAAAATCAAAATAGCGCTGATGTTTGCCAATATTCGATTAGATACAGCACCCTAAAAAAGTATATTTTGTCTTCTTTCAACTATTTTTCTTCACAATTTACGTAGAATATTCAAACATTTGCCCTAAATGTCAATCTCCCACATTATTAAAGTAACGAATATCGGCGTAACGAGTAAAGGCTTTCTCTAACATCTCTAGTATACGCGGAAGGAAAACTGGGTAATGAAAATAAGTTAGTTTGACAAGTTAATTGAGAAGTTTCTCAGATATAATTAATTAATCCGATCCAATCCAACAAAACCCTAAAATGAGTTACGCACCTTTTATGTGCCTAAATTAACTGAAAATTTTATGTAAACTTTTAAGAGGCCTATAGCGTCCGATTATAAATTTAAATGAAAGTTGCTTTATTAATTAAATTCTTGTATCGCAGGTGTTCGTCAGGACAAGGAAATTGGTAACATTGGTTATGCAATGTGAAATTGAAATCATTTGTGTACAATATTTTGTATGGAAATATGAATGACTTTAACCATCTAAATGATGAACGACTTTAATAATAAGACTATCACAGTAGGAATAAGTGGTTAATAAATTATAGTTAGACCATATTTCGAATACTAAGATTTACTCTGTAACTACTGAATTACATTGTTAGTTGTGTTACTGAATTAAAGTACGTGGGCTGGTCACTGTCTTGCCTCTTTGAAACTAGATACAGAGTGAAATGTACAAGCAGGGATACCAGGGAAATACCAATGTTTAATAAATTTTAAAATTGTCTATATACCGGGTGGTCCAATAAGCCGATCTCTCGGCTATATATCAGAAACTATTCATGTTATAACTTTAGGAGAAAAAATTCCTTAGTAAAAGTGGCCAAGAGAAATCGCTGGAAATAACTCTCAAGATTCTGGATTAACTGCGAGGGGGCGTAACCTTCGAAGAAAACTTTGAAAACCAGTTTTTTGGGAAATCTGTCCAATTATACCAAGTGTTAAATAAGTAAACTAGAAAGAAACATAAATTCTGCACAAAACTGTTCGAGTATTTATTTTTTATTTTTTTAAATAAAGGTTGGGGGAGAGTGGGAAAGTATTTATGGATAAATACCTATAAATTTGGTTTGGATCAACCGACTTTAATAAAACTAGTGTCATTAGAAAGAGTGTGAATGAATTAATTCATATCTACTATAAAATACTTGTATTTAGTTTTAATTGTCGTAGGTAGAGGGGACTTTCAAATAGAAAAAACTAAAATTTGTTTTTCTTCAAATTTTTAATGGAAACACCTATTTGATTGGTAACAAAATGGAGCAAACCGCATGTAAATAGCCTTTGTTGAATTTGACATATGAATAAAAATGCATAAACATAAGTAAGTATAGTATTGACACACCCTGTATTATATCCCACTGGTTTGTTTACGAAACTAGGCCGAAGTGATGTGGACATCATTAGAAGACAAATTTATAACATGTGTGAAGAACAGATGGTCCCCACGTTAACCATCATGCAGAAGTTGCAGAAAGATGACAAAGAAATCAAGTGCTGCAGTGAGACCTAAGGCACGATGTTCTTCTCATAAACGGCTTAAAATAAATATAAACGTATGGATTGAATCTGCTCACTACAATAGAGGATGAATAAGTGATGCATTTACTTAGCATCCAAATAGTAGGTAATATACAATTTACTAGTAAGAGAGTAGAAAAATATTTTTTTCTACTCTCTTACTAGTAAATTGTTTATTACCTACTATTTTGGATGCTGACCAATAGGATCCTAACAGATACTGACACGTATGACTAGCACGTAATAAATAAAATTACGCTTCAGTTTTATAAAAATGTGTAATATCACATAAGCCTTGTAAGTCAGTTGGTCGAGTTTAGAATGGAAACGAATCAACAAGACGTTATTTGAGAGATTAAAAATTATTAATTTGTCAGTGTAAATATAGTGGTATTTAATTTTTAATTTTTATAAACGAAAATAATCGTAGAAGAAGTATAGTACACAACTTGAGTTGTAAGCTTATTACATGCTTGTAAAATTACTGCGCTCGATGCTACGCGGCACGCGCGCAACTTTTTTACTCGCATGCAATAAGCTTCTTACAACTCTCGTTATGTATTATACTATTAATATTCATTTTGAAAGCGGTATAAAACCAGCTTTTAGAACACCCAATTTGAAAAAATATTTTTGCCTCTGTTCTTTTTGTTTTCTAATTTAGAAATTAAGTTTTGTAAATATGTGAATGTAGTGTATGTATATATTTTTGCAACTTTTATAACTTTAGTAGATAATAATAAAGACCGGCTTTTAAACACACCTAATAATCGAATAAGTAATGTAAATCGGAAATAAAAGTACGATCCTCTCCAGAGGCTATCCCCCGCTGCCTTGCGGTAGACACTTATCGATAATAAATATTAATCACTCTCTTAGATCTCTGGGAGGACTATACAAAGGGACATTAAGGCTGTTTTAGCAGTTCAAGCACACTTCTATTTAAAATGGGTGTATCACTTACTTTTCTACACTGCTTACGCCAGACCATCTTTACTCAGTGGCGCCGGCCGACGGGTAGATTAATGACAACAAATGCATTATTCTCCATTCAAATTAGTTTTAACATGAACTAGCTGACCGTACGTTCATGAGATTTGACGCCACGAAGGTGATAACGCTGAAAGTAAGCGCCAATTATGAGTAACACGTGTCACTATTAGATTTTAGTACTTTTTAGCAATTTTCTTCAAAGTTGGAACACGATTTTCTCGATTATTACTAGACACAGAAAGGTAAAACAAAAATCAACGATTACAGAAAAAAAACTCTTTCAAGTGATGGGCGTAAAAAGTTTGGTTATAATAGAACCTTAGACAGTATAATCCAATTTTTCAATAGAAGTTTAAAAAAATAAAAAAAGTAAAACCATCATTTTAAAGGCAACATAATTTCGAAAAACATGTCTTAATTTCGAGACATTTTGTCGATAAATAACAGAGAAAACACAGTCCCTAGGTTTTGGTGCACCGATAAAACAGCCTTAATAGGCATAAATCGGAAATATCAATTTTTAATCAACATAAAATCGGTTATATACAATAGCTCAGACTGATTATGTTGAAAGTTGATTCCATTTTGTTGCCATATCAGACAACCTATTGTTTATTTCTCCTGTATAATGCTTTTCTTGTACCGTTGTTTTTAAAACGTATTAAACCAATAAAAACTCCGATAAAAGTAAAAATTCCATCAAGATAAAAAGATAATGATGTTGAAAGCTAAACGTAATAATAAAACTATAATCTGTAAATACACTTTAATATCCAGAAAGGAGCACGAAAAGGTTTTCTATATTATATGAGCCATAAACTTTAATTTAGAATTCGTTAAAATAGGTAAAACTTAGTGACCTATATATAAAACACATAAAAACACACAAAAGCAAATAGGATTTTACGAACTTATCGCAAATCCCCATTAAAAACATTTTCATATACTTCAAACTTTTCTCTTACCTGCTTGAATACCTCTCATTGCTGGATGTTCCATACTGTTATCGTCTTTGGAATTTTGAGATTCGGTGCCGAAAGCCCCGTTACCTTCTCCCGCCTCTCCATCGCTCAATCTGTCTTCGCTGTTTTCTATCTGTGATCCGCCTCCGTTTGACTCATCACCTTTGCTGTTTTTCTGATTTGACAGCACCTGCATCTCCCACATCTGTTCTTGTCTGATATCGTCATTGTAATCCTGGAACAAAATTGTATTTTTAAAAATCGCTATATTGTCTTTTATTTATATTACACAATAAACACGTGAAGAAATATGCGTATTCAAATGTCAAGTTTATATATATTTAGAAATTCAAAGATGTATTCAGGCAGGATTCTTTCCTGTCAGTAACAATTTAGATCACCGCTTTCCTTTCGGTTCTATATAATCTTTTGGTGATCACATTTACGCTCTGATATAGCTCCATTCTTTTTTCGTTAGTCGAGGAAAAATGTCTTTCAATTTTACATCATATTTAAAATTTTATAAAATTTGCTCCATATAAAAGACGGCAAACAAAAGCTAAAAAACTATCTTAGTTATTCATTGTTTTCTATAGTTTAAATTATTATATTGTTTTCATAACATTAAAAATATCACTGAAATGATATCTTACTTTCGGTGTTTGAAGAGGGTGATTTGCAATTTCTCTTCCTGACAATTTATCGTTACAATCTTCTGATCAGTAAGCAATATACCGATAGTTTGATGTGAATTTTTTTACATTATTTTTTATCTACAGGGTGTTTCAAAAAAAGGTATCCCCATCTCTAGGGTGGGTAAAAAACTGAAAAATAATTGGGGTTTGCTTAGTAAAAAAATTTTGTAATGCTATCCGTTTTCAAGATACAGGGCATTGAAGAAAAAAAAAATTACGCATTTTTTACGATTTTGCCGAAACTACTGGCAACATTGTAATGAAATTTTATACGAATATTTTTTGGAAGCTGATACATCCCATGACTTTGTTTTTATATCTGATTCTCATAGAGGGCGCTAGTTACACGGATCGTATTAAGTATTAGTTAATATAAATTTCTTAAGAGTATAATTATTATTCAAAATTTCAGATAAACTTAAACATCATTCAATTTTACACGAAAAAGGTACTCTTGGTAAAACTCGATACTGTGTACCGTTTTCGAAATATTTTGATTTGAAAATTATGAAGTAATAACTATTGATGCTGGTAGTAATGATAAAGTTTTAATAGGTATACCTCTATTTTCTCCAAGTGTGCCATGGAAATCTGACATTTATTGATTATTATGACGATAAATCAACACTAATTAGAGTTTTGAAACCTTGTTATTTGTAAAATCAAATCAAAATGTACTCAAATGTTGAACACACTGACATGTTATTAACGTTAAGCGAATGTTTAGGATGTTCTAGTGCAGCTGTGATACGTTATGCAGAAAAGTTTCCTAGAAGAAACCTACCAAGTAAAAAAACATTTAGAGCCGTTAAACGACGTTGTCGAGAAACTGGGAATATGAGTCCAAATTAAATAAATTCTGGTAGACCAAGAACAACAAGAACAATTAATAAAGAAAATAATATTTTAAATTTACTTGATCAAGATCCAACAGGACGCGTAAGGAATATAGCAAAACAAACAAATACTTCTTCTTCAAGTACTTGGCGGATACTGAAAGAACAGCAATTACATCTTTATCATTACAGACAAGTCCAAGAGCTCTTGCCAGATTATCTACCGGTTAGAGTGGATTTTTGTGAAACATTTATAAACATTTTGTGACCAGGCCACCTTTACGCGACAAGGTATGTTTAACTCCCATAATGCACACTACTGGTGTGCTGAGAAACCACGAGTCAAAAGGGTATCACATTACCAACACTCATTTAAAGTTAATGTTTGGGCAGCAACTTTAGGTAACAAATTAATCGGTTATCATATTCTACCTGGAAATTTGTAAATGGAAATCTGGAAAATGGTGATATGTATCTTGATTTTTTAAACAATTCCTTATTCGAGATATTAGAAGACTTAAACTTTTTTTCTAGTCTTGTCGTATTTATACGGATAGTAGTTTTGTAAATGCGGTTCAATAAGCTGATTGGTCTACAGTTTTATAGGTGCGCCTTAGATTAGTGCGCCTTGTTTCCTTTCTTGTGTAGTAAAATTGTTACTGCATTGTTCCATGTTTTGGATATGCAACAATCTTTTAGACAAAGGTTTTTATTTGGTTAAGAAGGGCACGTCCGCCCATCTTTATAGCTTCTATTACGACTCCATCTTTTGTATTCATAATAATAATAATAATTGTATATATCATAAATTGTGTATTTACTAAGCTCTAATTAAAACAAGTTACTTTTTCTCCTGGCTTCACGTTTCGTTATATTGTACATCAGCGATAGAATAGAATTATTATATCATATTATATTGTTTCCTTGTTAACATACTGTGACATTTTTGTAACTTTTTAATGTTTGTATAAATTTAGAAAAAACTCTGAATGCGTTTTTTACTGTTTAGTTTTTAAATGTATGGTCTAACACATAAACGCCTATGCATTTGTCATTGTTTGACATCTTTATATGACTTTACAATCATTAGAAGTGAAGAAGTGCAGAAATACGACACGAAACGATTTCTATTAAAAGATTGAAATAGTTTTTTCATTTTTTATTTCCCCTTATTATAATATTAATATATAACCGATATTCTCATTCACAGTGAGATTTTTATCCCTTATATATATATATATATATATATATATATATATATATATATATATATATTGTTATGATATGTAAAATCGAGAAAAGTATTGGTTTGCTTAAAATATTTCAAAATTCAAAAACATTAAAATAATTCAGATAAGTCAAATAATGAACAACAAACATTTCGAAGGATGAAAGTCTTTTAATTTTGGATTACCTGTATTTAACAAAAACGTAAGATATGCATAAATTATTTTCTTTGTTAAAATATATTTGTATGACGTGAATAAGCTGAAGTGAAATCCATAAGACAATTGAACCGGGTTTTTCCAAATACATTATTGCAGTGATTAGGATAATAGAATAGATTTTAGAAAGATAGGTTTTTGTTAGTTTTTAAGAATTGGTAGGAAAATATTATTTTGTAAACAATGTTCGGAAAATTTATAATTGTAGGTAAAAATTTGTGTGTTATCAAATAGGAGATGGATGACGAGTTTTGATTGGATGAAATTGAAAAAGGTGGGATGATTGGTTTAAGAATGAGACTTTAGTTAGTTTTAGAAACAAAAAAGATAGTCAGTTGGTTTCCAAGGGTAGAAGGCGAACGGCCGTTGTTCTCGGGTAGTTTCCCAGAGGTAGAAAGCAGTAGCAGTGAAAGTTTGTGAGTTTTCGTGTAGTTAGTGTATCTGACAGAAGCTGATCCAGTAAAAGATTGTAAGTTATATTTTCTATTTATATTCCAAGAGTCACTGTTCAGGCCAACGAGAGATTCAGTTTATCGTAAAGAAAAGATATTCCAAGAGTCATTTTTCACTCAGGCCAACGAGAGATTCAGTTTATTGAGAGAAGAAGAAGCTAGCATAATTTGAACGATTCGTGCATTTGAAGGAGATCATTTAGGACGATAAACTCGCAATAATTTGTTGTAAGATTGCTGATTACCTAGGGAGCGGCTGAGAGTAGATAATATAGTCTACAAGGAACAAGAATTTGGACCACTCATCATCAGAGAAAGATAGTTTTGTTTTCTGCAGTTTTTTCTTTTATTGATAACACAATTTTTCACTTAATTTAGAAAGGATATAAATATTTTGATTAGGAGATTTAGAATAATAATTGGGATTTTGAGATTTTAACTAATATTGTTTATACCATTAATTTTGAAGATTCACGTATGTAGAACAAAATTTTAAAAATCAATATATGAGATATTGTTTATTGAAAACATTTGAGTGGGAATTTTATTTCATTATTTTTATTTCAATATATAGTGTTATATCATATGTGTTTTTTATTATTCCGTTATTCTTTGGACCTTACCTTTCACATGTAATAGATAGCATAGATATTGAAGCACGAATTTAACCCTGAGATAAGAGAATTAAAAAGTGTGATAGAGTCATAATCATATCATTTAAATAATTTTAATTAATTAATTAATTAATTAGCTAATTAATTGCTTGGCGCACCAAGACTTTAAATATCACATTAATATATACATATATATATATATATATATATATATATATATATATATATATAAATATATATATATATATATATATATATATATATATATATATATATATATATATATAATACGAAGTACTTTAAGAAAATGATATATAATAAAATAAAGACAAAATATATAGCACTCACGACTTATTTTAACACATTTTGTATCTGAATTGAAAAAAATGTGTTAAATTGGTTTTGTTTTGACATAGAAAGCTTTATAAAAGGATTTAACGGTTTTACCGTCGAATTTTATCTATCAATCTGTTGACTTCAATCACTTCGCCACCTCTTTCAATTTCCTAGCCCACGCAATCCGATTTATGGAATTGATATATGGAAATTAGGATTTATCAGCTTTTGACCGAAAAGTAAAAAACAAAGATCTTTTTGGCATATAACGTGTTTTATTTTTCGTCAACATCGAAATGCAATCTATTTTCAATATAGATAAAATTTGAGGCAAATTCCAAGGTTAGAACTGAATTTTTTGAAGTAAGCTATATAGCTTTTCCCTATAAAACACACCAGTACATGTGGTTTCTGTCATTATAATCTAGTTACATCGTGTGATACTTTTTGTTTCCTTTCTCACATGTTTCGAATAATTATAATATCTTTAATAGATGTCATTTTTTCAGCCCCTCTTTTGCAGGTATTAAAATAATTAAATAAAATCTCCCGTTTTACTGTTAGGGTTGTAGTAGGTAATGGCTCCAATTTTGCTTCGCTTGTTTCTTCGGTCCCTTTAACCAAGAATTTAAATTTACACTTATCTCAAATACTCCTTCAGATAAATTTTGAAAATCTAATAAATAGATTATCTTCAGCATCACATTTTTCTGTTATTTGTGATACAGCTCTCATTGTATAGCAAAATTTTTTTTATGTTGATTGAAATAAGTCAGGTGAGAGAGAATATAATATATTTCAAATAAATTTTTTTGAAGCTCTGCGTTGTGTTATATTTCTGAGAAATAATATGGATG